ATACCCCATTTAAGCCGCACACGGGGTGCGGGGACCGTTCAGGTTGAAGGCCGGTTATTCAAGGCATCAGCTTTAACAGGTGGTCAGGGATGGTGAGGGCTCTGTAGTGTCGGAGTCTGGTGGGGAAGCCACCAACATCAAGGGCCCTCTTCTGAGTTTCGGATTGACTCAGGGTTCGCCCTTGTGGACCCTGGGCCGTGATGATCGGCCGTCAATCTGAAGCTGGGAGGCAAAGACAGCTGCTCCTGGCTGGAAACGTAGCACGGCCCTCTGAGGGGACTGATGTGTCACTCAATTTTTGCTGCGGCTGTTATGCCATGTGCTGTCGGTGGTAGGATGAACCAAGACTCAACATACTTTCTCCCAGTAGGCCCTTAGGACATGAAGGTTTTTGCTTGCCTTTGGCTTCATGCCTCGCGACGCAAGACCAAACCCAGAGACTTGTGAAGACAGCTCAGGTAAGCAACACAGCGCAGGAGTACACGCCTACGGATTTCTGGACGAAGCGTGATGACATTGCAGCAAGGCCGTCGGCTTGCCTTGAGGGCTTAAGTGTCTTTTCTGTGAAACTCGGAGCTGAAGCATTCGATTTCGGCATCTTCAGGTGCGGGCCTGTCTCAAAGTTGCAAGGTGTGGCTGTTGCAAGGCTTCAGTGTGAGTGGCCCCAAGGCCCAAAACAGGCACAGTGATTCCTCTAGCTCACACAACAGTCGAAATAAGCCGATTTGATTTCGTTCTTTGCAGCTTTGTTCGTAGATGCAGCTTTAGCTTGCACATCGCGACGATGCATGCTGCAGGATGCTTGAAAAGATCAATGGCACCCTGTGGCGCCCGGGCCCACTGTATGGACGTCTCGTGCCCCTAAACCCTAAACCCCTAAACCGGAAAAAAGCCCTAAACCCTAAACCGGAAAAATACCCTAACCCTAAACCCTAAACCGGAAAAAAGCCCTAAACCCTAAACCGGAAAAATACCCTAAACCCTAAACCGGAAAAATACCCTAAACCCTAAACCGGAAAAATACCCTAAACCCTAAACCGGAAAAAAAAAACACCAAACCCTATAAACCCCAGTTTAGGGTTTCGGGTTTAGGGCCCCAGGGATCCCTTGGCCCGGGGGCCGAGGCCAGGCCTATGTGAAGGCCATGCAGTTCGAGATCATGAAGGCCACTCACAGATGTTCGGACCCCAAGCCCTGCACCCCAGGGGGCTTTAGGGTTTAGGGTTTAGGGTTCAGGCTTTAGGGTTTAGGGTTTGCTCTTGGAACGCTCAGCTTGGTTGGATGCCGCGCTGTGGTTTGGGTTGGGTGCCGGTGCCGTGTGTTAGTTCGCGGCTCTACTAGAGTTACTAGAGTAGGTGCGGTTGCTCTGAATTGGGGTTCGGTTTCTGGCGCTGGGATAAAACATAATCAGAGATTTCGTCAAGACAATCTTCCTGGCCTTTGTGGAAACTACTTTGTGTCTTTCGCCAGGTCGACTTCGCGAAGCAGTTTGAAGACTCCATCACGGCCGTGCAGGCAAGCCGACTTGCGAAGACCACAGCACCGGGATGGCCAAAAATCTCAGCAATAAGGACGTGAGCACAGCCGTGAATCGACGACCCTGCCAGTAGCAATCTTTTAAAGGTCTGAGAACCGAGAGGATGGCACTGATGCAGCGATGGATGGCTTGCGGCCACGCCTTCTGGCCTCGAGAGGTCCGATGGATTGCAAGCTGTTGGGAGGTGAGCTCCTGCGGCCGAGTGCGGTCGAGACAGGGCATCGTGAGCCACGGAACTTTAACTGCTGCAGGTTATCGACAGGTCAACATCGACAGCAAGATGTTCTTTGTTCATCGGCTGGTCGCTGCCACCTTTCTGGGTCCACCTCCAGCTTCGGCACGCTGGCGGGTGAATCATATGGACAACAATAAATCCAACAATCATGTGTGGAATCTTCAGTATGTGACAGCCAGTGAGAACCTTCGCCACTCCTGGGTCACCAATGAGTCGCGCCGGTCAAGTGCAGGAAAGCTAGGCAAGGCAGTCTATTGGCGAGCTTGTGGCTGTGAGCTCTGGTCGCTGGCCCATTCTCAGGCACAGCTTGTGAGAATGCTAGGCGTGCCTTCAGCATCCGTCTCACGCTGTTACCATGGCTTGGCCGCATACTGCACCGGAAAAGGCACTCGCTATGAATTTAAAGCTGCGAGATCACCTTCTGTGCCGTTTGAAGGCGAGCTGTGGCAGCCCGCTGTATGTGCTGGTGAGGACACGCAGATCCCTGGGCTTGCGGTCAGCAGCCATGGACGCATCAGATCATCATCTGCTCGGCATGAGTATGTTTCGCACGGGTACCAAGATGAAAGTGGTTATTGCCGCGTCAGAAAGGAGGGCCGATCATTCTTGGTGCATCGCCTGGTTGCAGGCACCTTTCTCGGACCACCCTTTGGAGCAAAATGCCAGGTTAACCACCGAGATTCGGACAAAGGCAACAATCATGTGCAGAATCTGGAATATGTCACGCCGTCCCAGAACCGACAGCATGCAATTCGACAGCGAGTTGGAGAGAGACCGCAGACGACACAAGGCAAAGCCGTTCAGGCCCGCTTGAAGGGAACATGCGATGACTGGCTGAAGTTTGATTCTATTGCAGCTGCAGCACTGCATACGGGCACCAGTGCATCTCTGGTTTCCGGTATCTGCAATGACAGGCAGACCAGTGACAAGTCGCGCAAGTGGGAATTTCGTTTTGCTTTGGACGAGTTGCTCCCGGGAGAGGAGTGGCGCCCGGTGGTATTGGACGGTGCCCGTGCGCCAAACGCTGCAGAAAAGACAAGCAAGACGGCAACAATAAATCTACTGGCCAGCATTCGTTCGTCCAGGCTGCGACGGTACGTTTGGAGGTTTGTGCTTCGAACTACGAACACTCGTTGAGACTAGGCAGCTGCCGCAGCAGTTTGTATCAAGCCAGCACTGTCCAGGTCGCTGAGCAGGCCAAGGTTGTCAACGAGTATGAGCAGCAGGCCGGCTGGGGCGAAATGCCTGTGTAATGCGACCGAATGCGCCCGTCGTGCAGCATCAAGACCATGTGGCCAGATGGGCGTAGCTTTGTCAACAGGTTGTTGACTGCATGCATGAGGCATTCATCATCCAGTATGCTTCGCATGCGAAATCTGTGAACAGTCGATCGCTTCCACATCTTGTTGGCTCCAGGTGCAGCGGGTGGTGCAGCACATCTCTGTCATGAAGTCAGAGAACGAGGCTGGCCGGCCAGAGAGTTGGGTCCTAATTTTCTTTTTTTGTGCTGCTTCTGAGACCTGTATACAGTTTAGGTTCGCTTGTCAGAAGCGACAAGACGCTGACTTCGGCCTTCCGTCTCGGCTATGTTGGGTATGCCACGAGCATCGAGTTGCACAAGTCGCCCTCCTTCGGGAGGCTGCCATAGCCAACATTTCGGCGGGTGCGGACGCCAAATCCAAGGTCCGGACTTCAGCAGCGAGGGCAGAAGAAACCGTGTCATGTTTTTTTTTTGACGTCAATTTTTGTTTGGCCCACATGAAGCATACATCGAGTTTTGCCGACAGACGTGCGAGGAGATTCGGGCGGCAGCTCGCCGTGATGCCTTCAACCTGAAGCAGGGTATGAAGGCCTTCTTTAGGGCACCTGCAGGTCTTCTGTCACACAGCCGTTGTCACCTCAGCGCGTCGCCAAGATCTGCAGCCATTGGGTGTCAGCACTGCTTCGCGGAACCCTTTCGATATCGGAGGCGCAGAAATACTCCGAGCTCCAGAAAAAGTTGGAGCATGGAGCCCAGGAAATCGATGCTAAATGACTCCGGCCCGGCAAACATTTGAGTAGCTGAGGTTGAATGGAGTGCAGATGAGCGAGTACTTCAAGATCAAGTCAGTGCAAGGCCAGAGCAGCAGTGGCAAGGCACCAACCTCAGCGCAAACCATCACGGACACGCATGTAAGATCGGGTACGAAACATTTGGTCGGGGAATACACGCCATGTTCCGGATCCGTTTAAGGCCCAGAGAACCGATGATGAAGCTTGCAACAAAACTCGAAATGCCCAACAGGCTAGGCTTAGAAACCATGCAACCTGAAAGGCCGTTGCTTGAAGTCGTTAGGTCCATCATTGGCGCAAAGCTGTTAGTCTTTGCCACTTCGAGCTTTGGCCGTCGCCCGGACCCATCCGAACTCTATCTGAGGATTCCAAGACAGATGATGGCCCCTTGTCCTTACCAAGCCCCAAGCCTGAGAGATCCCGGAGCAACCCTCCAGTTTTCGAACTGAAGCCGAACCCCTTAATCTGAACGTGCCTCGCCTGGAGTGTCCGAGTGTGAGCGCCGGAACGATCAGACTTCAAGATCTACCCTAAACCCTAAACCCTAAATTTTAAACCCTAAACCGTTGTCCGAGATGGAAGCCCTCAGGTCGTGGTCGGCCTGCCCACGGTTGGCCAGCGATCACTCGAGGCCGCTGCGGGGAGCTTGCCACAGGATCCGGCAAGAAGGTGGAAGGCTTTGGATTCAAGGTCTATGTGGTGTTCTGCATGTAGCAGAACTGAACAGTTGAGGCTGGCTCCTGGCATATACGAGAGCTCGACGTTATGGAGTTTCGTCCCCAACATCTCGTCGAAAGTGCATGGCCGGGCTTTGGGGACACCTTTTTCAGGGGTTCTGGCATTGACCAATTCGTTTTTTGACTTTGTCAATCCCGAGCCCCCGAAGGTCTTACCAGCCACTCGAAAAAACCCGCCTGCAGAGTCCGATTCGCAGGCTGGCCCGAAGCATCCCGACCTTTAGCACCCAGGAGGCGGCTGGGCATGGAGGGCCTGAGGCTTCAGAAAGGCTTCATTCAGGTAGTATTCCTGAACTCATAACATCCAAAAATGTGCCGTAGTAGTAAGATTGAATAGCAGGCAAAGCAATAGCAATACCACGAGTACGAGATATTTGGTTAAGCAACAGTCCAACACTTCTGGCAGCTTTTCTTCGAGGACATAAGGGTCAGCATCAGTGTCGAGGGCTCCGATGTTTGCTTTTGTTTATCGAAGTGTCTGCAGGGGCTAAAGCTTGAGTTAGGGTGTGTGAGGGTCTTGATCTGAAGACGAGGCTTCAACTGTCGCGTGCAGGTTTGAACCTTTAAGCAGCTCGTACATCAAGCCAGTTGCACGTCGAGCTAGACAGGCGGAGAGTTGTCAGCGCAAAGAAGTTTGGTCCAGTTCCCAATTCCGGAGTCATGTCTTTCAAACGGGTTTCACAGGCAGCGCAGCTTGTCCTTCGATTTCGCCGCGGCGACAGTCCCCGATATCCCCAATTGAGAGACGTCGCTTGACCTGGGGTCTACAACTACAGTTGCTTTACCCTTCCAAGAGTCCAAGAGCCTACTTGTAGCCACCCATCATCCTTCAAGCGACCCCTGAACCCCTTACAAAAAAGACCCTATCACCTCCAAGACCCCTATAAAGAAATACCCTCACAGACCTTGGCCTACAGAATACCCTATCACCTCCAAGACACCTATAAAACAACAACCCTCACAGACCTTGAGTCCTTGCATGATCCTTCCAAGTACTTGGCGCTGCAGGCCCGGAGCTCCAGTGAGGTGTCTCCATGTGAAGGTACAGTAGCCAGGCTTTTGGGTTTCTAGGGTTTATAGGGCCAGGATATACATAGAGAGTAGTAGAGGGACTATAAGGGGTAGCATAGGGTTCCGGATCTGAGCTATAGGGTTCAGTTTCCCTGAAAATAGCCAGCTAAACAACTCAGGGGGGTCCAGTAGATCGAGAACACAAAAAGACCCACCACGGGGTGTTCCACAGCGCGGCGCGCGGAGAGTCCGCTGCCCGCGATTCCTTTCGATGTAACGGGCACGAGGTGTGAGCGAAACGTGGAAAAAAATCCCTTTCCGCAATCGCTGCAGTTCGAGGCCAGCCATGAAGCTAAGAAGCTGCAGCTATGGCACAGACGCTGTGAGGCCACTATAATGCTAGAATAAGTACCAATATACTATTCCTTAGAACTCGTTGGGCAACTCGCCTGCTTCTCCGTCATTGGAGATTGGCGCGTTCGCGCCCCTTAGCTTTTCCTGCACTTTTCCGCTGTTCCATTCGGTATGTGCGAGGTTTCTGTTGTGTTGAGCGCATCGGATTCTGAGGGCTTCTCCAGGCGCTAGCCAGTTTCAGCTTCTCTGCTTCTGGGTGGTGTGGGGGGTGGGGAGAGATGACGAATGACGTTTATCCGTCTATTCCGAGGCGGCTGGGGCTTCCTGACTCCATCCAACTACCTCAGCGAGCTCCCTAACCCCGAAGATTCCTGAAGCAATTGCCGTATCATGACCCTTACAACATTACAAACTCAGGAAAGGTGGAACTGCACCCTCAACCCTGAAATTCTGACCTCGACGGAATCTTGTTGTTTGCCGTGGCTTCGCAGCATTCTCACGGGCTCCATGGCTTTGATGCAGTATGAGGGTCGAGGGGATGCTGGGGGTTCCCGAGCGTATTCCAGTCATAAGCACGGCTGTCCCAGGGTCTTCGGAGAGACTTCATCTCCTCTACACGTTTCAACTTTGAGCTCCCGGTTTCTTGCAGCACCGACCACATCAAAAAACACGAGCAGCATAGCAGCTCTTCACCATGGCTACCGAGTCCTAGAACCTCCCTACTTCAAAGTTTGAGCCACGAGGGCTCCCGAAGCGAACTCCGAGCGCCGGGCGCAGAGGACATGCCTGTGCCATGGCGGTAGCTCGCTTTCAACGATGCAGTCGGGCAGCCCGGAAGTAGCACGTCTGTTGCTTTGGGTGGGTTAGGTTGTTTCGCTCCCACGTCTTGGGGAAGGGCTGGCGGTATTTATGCAAAGCCAGTTTCTTCTTGTTCACTTTTCTCTTGAAGCTTTGAGCTGTGTCCTCCGACTGCTGTGGAGGCCTCGGATATCCTGGCCAAGCAACAAGAACCCCAAAGGCTCAATAGAGACTGCGCCCTAAACCCTCAAATCTCCATCCCGAAAGCAGCGACCGAATCTGCGGTAGACGCCAGAATAGACGAATGTGCAAGAAGCTTTAAAACTTGAGACAAAAGGAGGCCTGACTGCTTTTCCTTCTAAGCTGAGACGCATCCTCCCATTCCTGGGTTCTTTTTCCAGGCCTTCTGCTGCTTGGCCTCTGGGCCCATGGTGCCCTGGTCTGGGGCACAGGATGCATCGTGGTTTCGGGTCTCCGGGCAGGCTGTGGGGTTTTGTGGTTTTCAGCACCTTGCAGGCTTACCAGCCTTAGACTAATCTGACCTTAGATCGTAGAGCCGGTGTATGGATATTCTGGAGATGATCTGAAGTGGTGTGAGCAGGTCTTCTCATATGGCTTCGGCTAGTCATAGCCACATTGGCAGGTTCGAATTCTCATTTGGACCCAATCTCACGACGGCTTAGCCAGCTGTCCAAAAACAGCAATTCACATTCGTTCACTCCTTCTGACCCTTCGGTTGTAGAGATTTCGCCAACAGCCTGAACGTAAGCCTGACACCTCGAGTCGTTTCCTGTCACCGACCTCGCTCGCCAAAGACGCCCTCCAGGCGAAGATGGTCATGGGCATCGCGGATGGTGAAGATTATCAGTTGGTCGGAGAGCCCAGCCAGTGTTTAGTCGAACCTAGAACTGCAAAACCCTCTTAGATTGAAAAGACTCGATTCGGTTGGGGAAGTCCTTCCTGTGCCTCATAAACGTCATAGCCTTTGAGCCCCGGGACGACTATGGAAGAGTGCTCTGGGGCACTGAGCGGAGAAGATTTGAAGTCAGCCTGTCAACCATTAGTTGAGTCTGAACGCACCGCTACTGAACTGAGCCAAGGTGTCCACTTTTTGCTTCAGGTTCCCACCGGCCACTCCAGGACGTTGTTATCATGGCCTTGCATGCCGTAATGAGGCTACAATTAACATGAGAACATCAAGATGACGGCGAAGTAACGTAGCATTGCAGTACTAGGCTTCGTTGCTGAACATGTGATGGTGCGGTTGGATTCATAGCAACAAGAAGCGTTTGCGACCCACACTACCTCGGCTGCTCTTCGGTCTCCTGCTACTGCTGCTAGTTCTGCTGATGACGATGACCATACTGGCGTGGGTCAGCAATGAGTTGTGATGGTACTTTTGGTGGTGGTGGTGGTGGTGGTGGTGGTGGTACATAGCAGCAGGAGCAACCCCCCATCACCGGAACTAGCATCGCAACAAGGCAAACAGTCAAAGCGATTGTTCAACGCATTTCCAGTGGTCGTTGTTTGCTTGGACTCGGGTTGGCAACTAGTGAAACTAGTGCCCCTGCATCAGCTTCTGGAGGTAGGAAAACCAGAGCCCAAGAATGCATGTCCCAGCCATGCCCGGCGATACCGGCTGTATGCTTGTTTTCTGGTGTTCAGGATCCACAAATGGAATAGGGTAATTAGACGTATCCCTGTGGTCGTTGCCGGTGGTCTTCGGTGCTTGATTGGGCAAGCCACGCCGGGAGGACAAATAGTCCCAAATGGTCACATCCATTCACAGACGATCGCCTGGAGCTTGGCGATATCTGCTGCCGTAATTCCAGCTGTTTGCTCGGTTTGCTTATGGGAATCATGGTGGCATGTTGGGTGTCCAGTTTCGAGGTGAGTTACATGGTGGCTAGATGCCCCCGAGGTTTCGGCAGACGGCCACAAGTTTCTTGTGGTGAATCACTCGGATGTCCTACAAGGCTCGTTCCGATGGATGGCCAAGCTCGTGAGAAGCACCTTCTCGAAAATCTTAGAGTCTTACTCGCCTTCAGGCTTGTCCTGCGACCAGCTCGTCAAGCGAGCGAAGGTGATCGAGCACGCAAGCCCAGTTCAGATGCGCAGCTGCGGTGGAGATATCTGGGCTGCACATTTTGCCAATGAGTTCTGCGGCCTTGTCAAGAGTTCTGTCATGCGCTCAGCTAGGCCGTTGGTGGAAAAGACAAAGGAGGTCGTCGCATACGACTTGACTCTAAATGTCATTGGCTCAGTATTGCTCACCACTCA